TACGAAGATTGTCATGAGAAGAATGACTTTATCGGTTGCCTTAAGCAGAAGGCGTTACATGCACTCTCACGCGCACTCGAACAGGATTCCATTAAAATAGTGGATGGTCTGGTGTTGGAAAAGCAGAATAGCACCGAAAAGGAGAGCATCATGAACTCGCTAACAGATGCACGCACGCTTACCACACTGAGTCCGGTCGATCGTGCGCTACTCGCTAAAATCGATAAATTAACGCGTACGCATGCGCTAAAGATCGATATGAGTCAGGGGCGTGGACATGGCGACGATGATGATGACGATCATGGGCATAAGAAGAAGAAGAATAAGGGTGGCGGTCATATTAAATACGTGATTGCGGCGCTGCTCACTGCCATGAGTATAGCGGGTCCCATTGGTTTGAAGGCGCTAGCGGCGATCGCCACCAAGGCATTGGTAATTAGCAAAGTGGCGCTGACGATCGCCGGTATTATAGCGCTGAAGAAGCTATTCTCACATGACCATCAGGAAGAGTCAAGCTTTCAGGTGCATGCGGGCGATCACAATCGGTGAGTTAGAGTGAAGAGGGATAGATTTAGGCGAAGAAAAAGTTGCGAAGGAAGAGCATTTAAATTTAAGAAAAATTAATTTAGTTATTTGTACTAATTTCCTAATTTTGTCTTTTTTTTCAAACAGCCGCAGCACCTATGTAATACGCCCGGTGAGTAAAACCAATCAGCCGACAGCTGCCGGTGGTATCAGCCAATATTCGGATCCATATCGCTACTACTATGAATATCATTAATCACAAATGGGCTCGTGTATAAATTGCGTATGCGTTTAATTCCTTATGTAATGTAACCGTTTGTTAATTTTAGGGTTTCATTAAAAGAAAAAACACAAACAGCTAAACACCAAAGAAATTCACTTTTAATTGGTAGAAGTTTGTTAAAAAGAAAGACGTGTAAACGGCCCGTATTGTTTGACTGAAAAGGTCATTATTCTTGGGCGTTGAAAAAGGATATCTGGGGTTTTTACCATTTACCTATTAAATAGCTGGAATATATGTATGTTTGAGCCTGGTCCTAAAGAACGTTGTTTTTAAAAACGCTTCAGTCTGACACAAAATATAATATTAAGAAGACTACCAAATAGTACTGATTTGTTGTACAATAGATTATAGCACACTTTGCATTATATTAGTATTTTTTTTTTAATAAAACATATACTTATATTAAACGGTAAAAAAGTGCTTTCATTTCTTTAAATTTGACATGCATAGCTCCTTAAGAAGTCAAATTGCCGACCCTGTTCATAAATCTTGTTTTCTTATTTGGCGTATAGAGAGAGGCGACTGCACTCTGAATCGCCCTACAAGATGCGTTGATCAAGTGTCTTCAGCATCATTCTTGCAAGGTACCTAGGTGCCAGGTACTCACAGAAATAATGAAAAACTAATAATAATAAGTGAAAAAATACAAATTTTCGGCAATTTTAATTATATTTTAGCTTTCAATCGAGCTGATGGGCTATTATCTATGAAAAATGCTACGAAACGCCTGGAAAACGCCTTCGTGGTGCGTTAAGCGAAATGAAAGCTTCATATTGATGTGTTCAAAGAAAACCCCGGAACCTACCCTGCGTTTTATGTTTGATCCGTCAATGAAGACAGCTATTTCCACCACGCACTTAGTCTCCGCCGGCTTTGGAATTTCAGGTTTCTTTACAGTAACCTAAAGTCCGTTAATTGATTTCTGGCCTCTGATTTCTGAAGTTTCTCTTGAGTTTTTAAGGGTCATAATCCTCAGCTTGAGCTTCATAAGACAGTATTGGTCGCACTCAATGTTGCCAGATTCACAATTTTAACTGTAAGATAAAAGTGAACGATAAAGGAGCAGCGTTTTCTTCTTTCAAATAAATGGTTTCAGCTTTTACATTCCAGTCGCCATAGCAAATGTGAAAAGTACATTTTCCCAAATCAATTTGAATACAACAAGAAATAAACTAGAAACTCCAGCACTCTGGTATTTTGCGAACTAAACGTTTCTTTAAAAAAATTCCTAAGGAACAACTAAGTTTAAGGTATCGAATCAAATGCTCAAAAAAATAGCAAAGCAATTAACGAAAAATAATGAACCTGAATATAATTAAAATAAAATGTGATCAAAATGTTCCAATGTTCCAAGTCTATTTGTGTAGTAAAGTATCATTTTTTAAACACTCGTCGTTTTTGAAGGTTACAGAGGCAGAGGCTTTTTTTTTTTTTGAAGGTTACGGAGCGTTCCCGCGAAAGTCGGGTCTACGTAACTGGAACGACCCAGATTTATATCTGGCCAAGGACTGTCACTCCAGCAACACTCCCCAAAAGCTCTGGGGAATCTGTATGCTGTTACAACAACAACAACGAAGGTTACAGAATTTTTTGTCGAAAAGTTTTTTCTGGAAATCTAGTTTTTTTGGAAAAAAATATCTGGCAACACTGGCCGTATTATAGGCGTTTAAAACATACGATATCGTACTACTCGTCACGTAAAAAGACATTTTTCGGATTATGACATATGTGAACGTACTTTTTGCCCCATTCATTTTATTATTTTTTAATTTTAATTATTTGGTTGTAAAAATATAGCTTATTTTTTTACAAAAACCATATAAATCCAACTTTTAATCTTTGTAAAAAAAATCAAGAAATTTTCTTAAAAATTTCGAGCATTTTAATTAGGTTTCGTAGAAATATTTTTAGTATGCAGTTTTTTAGTACATTCAATTTCATACTCAAAAAAATTCTAACAAATCTGATTAAAAAGTGGAAAATTTTGATGAAAATTTGCTGAATTTTCGCGAGTTTTGCACAAAGTTTAGGAATTATATTTCTATGTTTTTTGTTGCTGTATGAACCATATTTTTATACAAAATTGGTGGAAAAAAAATAGAATAAAAATTGTGGCATATCCCACCCGACCAAGAAACGTATGTTAGCGGATGTTACGAGTTTTACGATAGTTTCTCTTACCCGCACGCTCCGGCTCACCTAAGAGTCTCGTATTTCAAACGGAAGTTTGTATTTTTGCTTTTCTGTCCGTTGAATGTATCGAGAATGTATTCGTTTAATAATTTTTCTCTAACTTTTCTCGGACAAAATATTCGAAAAAGTAAATAGAAGGAGGCACTGCTTTAGTTAACATTTTGTTAGAAATTTTCTATCATTAAAAAGTAAAACGTTTTGTTTCATGTGCGTTCACGTAATACAATAATTGAAAATTGTAAGGAATCACAAAATAAATCAGAGTAAGTATTGAAACTCCTTTGCATGATAAATAACTTAAACTAATAAACTGACTATCCTTATCATACAAATAGCACACAGTTGGATCAAACTTTTTAAGGAACCATATAAAACATCACAGTAAGTATAAATAAATAAATATATTTAACTAAGTAACTGACTATTTTTTTTTATAATGCCTTGGTCACTCATGCGAGTGATTTTGGGTTGCACTTAATTGTTACTCGCATGCCATGGCGTATGAGTGACAAAGGGTGGTATTATCGCCTGCGAAGCGTAATATCATTGAGTGTTCGCGATGTAAAGAACTTATTATTTATCGCAACCATGTAGTTATAAAGTATCTATTTATTAAAGCTACTCAAGTTTTATTTTCTTAGAAAATGCCGCCTAAAAGAAAACGTCGCCAATACATTGCCGAAATTCGGCACTTTAAAAGAACTTCTGTTCAACATATTAATGGGACTGCAACAAGCACGACTCCTAAAGCAGCAGATATTAATTCAAATAGTGCTTGTAATGAAGCAGATCATACATATGACGTACCAATAGACTCTCCCAACTTTACTGCTCGTCTGGCACGGTGGTTTTTAACGAATAATGTTAGCCGACAGGGTGCGAACGATTTGCTTGCACTACTGTCAGAGAAAATTTCTGATTTGCCACGTGATGTGCGCACGCTGAAATGTACACCACGGACGATTGTTAAAAGACTCGTACAACCAGGAGAGTACGTTCACTATGGAGTGAAAGACGCACTTACGGACTTTTTGCGCAATTTTCAATTTGACCGTTCAGACATTTCACTTAACATTAATATAGATGGTCTCCCTTTATTTAAAAGTTCCGTAAGCAAGTTTGGCCCATTCTAATAAATGTGCTTGATACTAAGCCCGTTTTGGTTGCGGGGATTTATGCCGGCTGCTCTAAACCGCAGGATCCCAATATTTTTTTAAGAGAGTTCGTTCAAGAATTCTTCTTCACAATGAATATTGCAAAACCAAAAATGCACTTGCAAATAGTTTATTAAACAACTTTGTGAAGGACGTTTCCTCATTATACTCTGGGACGATGTTAACATATAATTTTCATTGTTTAACCCATCTCAGTAGCCAATCAAGGATTTTTGGCTCTCTTGAAACCATAAGTGCTTTTCCTTTTGAAAATTTCTTAGGACAACTCAAAAATATGGTAAAAAAAAGTGATAACGTATTGGAGCAGCTTTATAACCGCATAGTTGAGCGAAGTTTATTTGATGTTGTGCACAAAGAATGTAAACTAAATTCAGACGTTTCCCGAAAAAATATTGTCTATAAGGACTTTTACTTTGACTTGAAAGGTACTAATTCATTTTATTTTGTTATAGACCATTCCGTTTACAAAATATACAAAATTTTTGAAATAGTCAATAATACTTTATTTAGTAATTTAGTTACTGTCTTAGATCCTTTTTTTAGTTATCCTATAGACTCGACCTTGGTGGGTATTTTTTCTTCTAAAAGTTTCGAAATAGACTCTGAAATAATTAAACACCCAGTAGATAAAATATCTGGGAAAGTTTGTCATATTATTGACCAAATACATATTTATATGCCATTGATACATTATTAGGTTAAAATGGCACATCAATATACCGACCTTTTCAATATGGACGATGGAACAATTTACACACAAAGGCCTGCACATAACAGCAACTTATATAACAACAACAATGAAAAACAATTAACAGGTATTTATTGAATACTTTATAACAATTTCAAAAATTACAAAATAATCTTTATTAGAGATTTTTAAACTTTTGCATGACGTCTATGGAAAAGTTAGTGAATTAACAACAAAAGTCGATCGCTTCAATATGGAAATGATTTCTGTAAGGAACGAGGTTACTTCCATAAAAGCTAAAGTTTACGGAGAAATATCCATTGAGCGTGAAATAGTTCCTCGCTCTCCTTTCTCAACTTTAGAAGAAATTAATAACCTTGAAGAAAAACTTAAGAACGAAGAAGTATTTAAAAAATTTGTAAGTGTAGTTTTTATATATTTTCCTAAAAGAATCGGCCCTATCGCGAATTTCACATGAACAAATATTCCCAAAAATTATAAAGTAAAACAAAAACAATTTTTCCCAATTTGTTTTTGTTTTTTGCATGTCAAATTATGGGAACGATTTATTCACATGGAATTGGCGATAGGGCTGAATGTTTCATTTCTCAATACAATTTACTACAAGCAGACACTTTATTTAATTTTGAATTTCCAATGATTGCATTAATATATATTTGTTTTAATATACCCATATTTGTATTCAGGTTCATGAAATTTGCACCAATGGAGAGAAGTCGTACGATAAATTTATAAGAAGCTCGTGGCGGTCATTGTTTGAAGACACGTTAGCGCAGCAGTTTTCATGGCGTGGGACAGGGGCAAAAAAATGCATAAGAGGGATGAATTTGGCCTTGGCAATTTGAAGTAAGTCGAACAGCTGTATCGAATAGTCATTTAATTTCTTTTAACATTTTATTCAGATGCGTTTACAAAAAAGTTTGCGTTGGAGGAGAGCGAATTTGACAAAGTAAGTCAAAAATTTTTTCAGTACGCACATGACCGAGTCTGCTAAATTTACAAGTACCAGGAAAAAAACAAAGGATTCAAAATGATGTTCACGAATAATAAGTTTTAATAACATGTTCAAGTTATAATTTTTAAGTAATGAATATTTATTATTTTAATATTTAAATTGTTTTAAAACTTGATAAAACTGAACTCTATTAAATATAGAACAACTGTTAAAATTTTAAAAGCACTCTTCTTATATGGGAATCAACTGGAATGGAATAGCTCTAATTATCGTTTTCATTAATTTTTCGATAGAGAAACGGGTCGAAATATCTTTCGATTTCGCTACTTTCTCGATAATCGAAAAGATCGAAAACATTGCCGTTTTCATTAATTTCTCGATAGAGAAACGGGTCGAAATATCTTTCGTTTTCGCTACTTTCTCGATAATAGACCAGATCGAAAACATTGCCGCTTTCAATAATTTCTCGATAGCAAAACGGGTCGCAATAACTTCCGCCTGAGATACGTTTCCACTATCGAAAACACTTCGAAAAACCATTTGAAAACGCATGTCGAGAACGAGAGCTCTGCTGCCACAAACTGAGCGACAGGTAATACTTTTACGATACTTTTTCGGAACCCGTTCTCAATAGTTTTGTAAGTGAAAGTGTTGCTAAAATATCTAAAACGGATGCATTCTCGTGTACGTTGGTCGGGTGGGATATTGTGAAAAATTTGCTGTGCCAATACTTTGTTCCGGCAGTGTATGTACACATTTAAATAAATTGAAATGTATGAATATAAGTTTTTTTTTGAGAAAATATTGTAATTATTCAGCAGCAATATAAATAGGTTATAAAATCACATAAAATGGGGTCTAGAAATGAGGAAATGATTGGAGCTGAAACCTCTTCTATAACATAATCCATATTGAACCTTAATTACGGGCAGTTTCTTTGAATATATATTTATTTGCATCATCTTCTGACGATGCTGCCATGTGGTTTTTAATAAGACGGTGTATTAAAGGTCGCACTAAAGACAATGTCACATTTTTACCCCCACAAAGCACTGCAGTCGCTTTATCAAAAGGTTTCAAAATGTCAACCAAGTTCTGCATTTCACTCCACTCCTTCTCTTGCATTTCTAGCCTCAGCGCATCGCAAGTTTTTGTAACGGTTCGATCTTATAAAACTAGGCAGATTGAATTTCGATTCAAAAGCAGCCTCTCACACATGTAATATTTGGAGTTCCAACGTGTGACGCAGCATTGTACGAGTCGATTTTCCTTTATCCCCAACTGTACTTGGCGGTTTGCAAGTGCAGTTTTAGCAATATATGAGCGATGAAAATATGCTGTTAAGTTTCGTCCTTTTTTGCAAATTTTATCGTAATCAGATACAGCTGCTAAGGCGTCTTTTATCACAAGCTGCAAAAGGTAAGCGCTGCACTTGATGCTGTCCCGTATATTAAAAAGTTGTGCTGCTGCATTCATGACTGATGCACTGTCGTGCGTTATCGCTTGCGTTTTGTCGGATATGTTCCAATCGGCTAAAACTACTTCCACTGCCGATGCAATGTTTTCTGCATTTGGTCGGTCTATAAAAACAAATTATTTAAACAATCGAAATGTTTTAACATCAAAACACAAATTATGCATGTATGTATGAGTGTATGTCTTTATTTGATATACTGGGCTTCGACTGATAAATAACAATCTTGAGTTCTTGATGTCCATTCGTCGACTGAAATTGATGCGCTTTCTACCTCCGTCAAATCGTTTGAAATTTTTTCTCCTACGTCATTATAAAGCAATTGTAAGCGTGAAAGTATACTTTGTTGAGAGGTAACTTTGTATCCTGGTTCCACTAACTTCATAAAGTCGCGAAAGCCTTCAATTCTTGACGTTCAAATGTGCAGTCATGAACGTCATCTTGATTTTTTCTCTTACGGCCACCCAAGGTGCGGCGCCTGCGTTTCAACGCATTCACCACTTGTTCCATCGATGTTGTTGTTGTTGTTGTAGCGGTTACAACAACCCCGCCCAGATCGGTTGGTATCTCAGTCGTTGTCGTCGAGTTCCACTAACGGCAGCCCCAAGAAGCGTGCAGCCTCTATGGGGTAGGTCCACAGGGACAACGCCGTTAGGGTTGTAGGGTTTTCCGGGCATGCGAAGATATGTTTCGAGTCGTGAGGGGTCTCTCCGCATGCCGGACATTCATTCGACACATCCGCATTTAGCCTACTCAGGTAAGAGTTCAGCCTGCTGCAGTAGCCAGAGCGAAGTTGGGCTATTGTTGTTCTTGTCTCCTGAGGCAGATGGAGCTCCATCGCGTCAATGTCCGGTGTTTGTTTGCCTAGAACGGCATTCACAGGTCTGGAGTCTACATAACTCGAGACTGAGTCCCTGTGAATGCCGTTCAGAGCCTGTCGGTATGCTGACTGTCCAGAGGCTGCTTAATGAACCTCTGGACTTCGTCCGTCAGTTCATATAGATGCCTCCTGACGTGTCTAGGCGAGGGCTCCTCTGCAAGCAGCAGTCTGTTTGGGTGGCAGCTTCTGTGGCTCCCAACCAGAAACTGCTTGCAGAGCATTATGTTATGCTCCCTGATTGGGAGCATTTTCGCCTCGTCATGGAGGTGGTGTTCGGGTGACATCAGGAGGCAACCGGTCGCTGTCCTGAGTGCGGTGTTCTGTGCTGTCTGTAGCTTCATCCACTGCGTCCTACTAGTCCCCGGTGACCTCACTGGTGCCGCGTAGTTTAAAACCGGCCGGCCTTGTATGTTGCCAGCAACGTTTCTTTGTCTTTGCCCCAGGTACTGCCGGCTAGCGACTTGAGGACTTTGTTGCGGCTCTGTACTTTGTTGACAATAGCGGTTGCGTGCGCAGATAAGGAGAGCAGGCTGTCGAATGTTACTCCGAGTATTTTGGGGTTATTCACCGTCGGAATTGGTGTATCATCGACGTGAATTCCCAGCGGTAGCCTGACCTCCTTCGTCCAGGTGGTGAACAGGGTCGCAGAGGATTTCGTAGGGGAGAGGGCTAGACACTTTTCAGTGAAGAAGCGAGAACGATCGGAGAGGTACCGTTTACTTTCGAACACAGGTCATCAATTCAATTCCCAGTCGGCGTATGAGACAATCGAGACTCCCTCTGGTGGTTGAGGGAGCTTTGAAATATAAAAGTTAAACAGTAGTCGGGATAGGACACCACCCTGTGGAACTCCCTGTTTGATTTTCCTAAGTTTGCTCAATTTGTCTCTAAACATTACCGACGAGTGTCGACCACCGTTTGAGCCTCTGTGGGAGAGAGGAAGCCTCTATATCTTCTAGTAGCGTGGAATCGCTGACAGTGTCAAAAGCCTTTGACAGGTCCAACGCTACTAGAATCGTTCTCTCACAGTTACGGTTAAGGCCACGAGTTATCTGAGTGTTTATGGCGTTAAGTGCTGTTGTTGTACTGTGCACTTTACGGAAACCATGCTGGTGCTTCGCTGGGGTCAGGTGGTTCATGAAATACGGGAGCAGCAGGGCCTCAAGTGTCTTCGCTACCGGGGAAAGGAGCGTTATCGGTCGATACGAATCTCCTTTGTTAGCGGGTTTCCCCGGTTTGAGCAGTGGGACCACTCTCCCCACCTTCCAGATGTCTGGGATGATGAGGGTGGCCATAGACAAATTAAGGACCTCCGTTAGGTACGCTACTCCCGCAGAACCCAAATTTTTCAGCATCAGCAAGCATATTCCGTCGGGGCCCATGGCTTTGGAGGCTTTCGCCTTTCCGATGACCGCCTGAACTTCACCGCAAGTGAAAGCAAGAGGGCACAATTTGTTGGCAGTTTGTGCAGCCTTCTGGTCACTCGACGCTTGGTTTTGTCCACCGGAGGATGCAGTATGAACTGCCGGCTAAAGTAGCTCGCGCATCGCTCGGGGCCGACGAGGCATGGTCGCCGAAAGAAATTTCGACTCTGTCGTCGTGCTTCGTCGGATTGGACAGTGACCTCACGGTTGACCAAAGCTTACTCACACCAGAGGTGAAGTTACAGGTCTTCAGATGTTGTTCCCACTTCATCCGCTTAAATATGTACGTTCACTAGTTGCCGAATCTCCGCGTTGAGATCCCTGATACGGGGATCACCGGGATCGGCCTGACGAAGGCTGTCCCGCTCATCGGCTAGAACAGCCGCTTCGGCAGGGAAATTTGGACGTGGGTCAGTGATACATCCTGCCGGTACGAAGCGGGCTGCAGCAGCAGTGACAGCCCTGCGGAACTTACGTTCACCAAGGTGGACGTCGGTTGGTGTGGGGAGAGCAGCGAAGGTGTTTTCAATAAATTCCGCGAAGCCTTTCCAATCAGCTTTGGAGAAGTTGATATATGTTCGGTGCTCCACGGAAGCAAAGTCGGTTGGTTTATCGATCGAGATGACTATGGGCAGTGGGTCTGATGCCAAAGTCAGCATAGGTCGCCATGATATGCTGTTTATCAGACCAGCGCTGACTATTGTTACGTCTGGCGAACTGCAGCAGCTGCCCATAATCCTGGTGGGTGCGTCGTCGTTCATTGTGCAGAATGTCGAATCGTCTATCTGCTCAGCCAAGTCGGTTCCCCTACGATCGTTTGACAGGCTTGAGTGCCAAAGATCGTGGTGCGCATTAAAGTCACCTACTACCATTCGGTTTTCACCTCTGAGGAGCGCACCTATATCTGGGTGATATCCTGCCGGGCAGCAGGTGACAGGCGGTATGTAAACGTTGAATATTTTCAGCTCAACATCGCCTGACCGGATAGCAATGCCCTGACATTTTAGGGTGGTATCCCTGCGGTCGATGTCTGCTTCGATAAGACGATACTGCACGGTGTGGTGCGTGATGAACGCTAGGCCACCACCATTATCTCGCTGCGATTTCGCCGGTGCACGTTGTACCCGGCACAATTCAACAATATTGAATTGCTGTGCAGCTTCGTCTCTTGGACCGCAGCTATCAGTATACCATGCTTTCCCATAGACGGTTATCTCCTCGATCTTGCTCTGAAGCCCGTTGCAGTTAAATTGAAGGAGCGTCATGTGGTTCGGGAGACGCGTGGTAATGTGGGGTGTGAGAGATGTGTGTGGCCGTGACGCCATTGGCTGTGTGCGCTGCTGAGGTAGTTGCCGCCCTGTGGCGGTGGTGGGTGGCGTCGCGTTTGAAGTTTGCGACCGTGCTGCGCAACACGGACCCTCGAAGTTCCTCGTCCAATCTCGCGTGGTGCGCAGACCTAAACATGCCCTAAAGTGGCACCAGCCAAGGCAGGTGTTGCACTTGACTGATGTCACATTACGGAATATCCAGGTCTGACATACTGTGCAGATTGTAGGAGGAGCCAAGAGTTGTTGGCGGCGGCGTGTGGGTGGTGGTGCGGTTGTGTGTGTTCTGTGGTCTGTCGCAGTGGTGTGGTCTATTGTGTTGTTATGTTGTTGTGCTGTGGTGTTTGTGTGGGACTGCTCAGGTGGACTAGGGTTAGCCGTGGAGGCTGCTCTGTTTGAGCAGCAGGGGGCCACATACGATGTGGTCCACTGCCGATGTGTCCGTAGTCCTGAGCAGACTCTGAGGTGACTCCACCCCTCGCAAGCATTGCACTTGACTGAGGTGGAGTTGTGGTGTAGTCGGCTCTGGCATACACAGCAGGTGTAGGTTTCTGGCCCTGGGTTTGACTCGATGCCAGCCCTGAGTAGAAGAAAACGTAGCGAATGTAGCCCTATGGACGAACAACTTCTGAGATACTTCGCCGACCTAAACGGGGCTAGATCGCCGAAACAACAGCCCTTAGGCTGGTAAAACCCGAGTCATTCCGGTACGTAGAACCGGCTGTCGTGTCCATCGATATTCGTGTCCGGTGTTCTAAGTGTAACAAGCTTGTGCGCTATATTTTACTTATAACATATACATTTCTTTATTTGTACTTACATGCCACCACCACTAATCTGTTCTTTCTTATGAACTTGTTTCAAGTGAGTGCTTAGCGAGGAAGTGGAGTGGTGGAAACTAAGGACTGCTCCACAAATGTAGCAGGTAACTTGCTTACCATCACTGCATTTCGTAAAATGTACTTGTACTCATGTTCACAAAAAACACAGAATTTACGACAATTCTAATAATCGAAGAGAATCAACTATTCGAATAGTAACATTCGATTAGCAATCGTACAAAAAATTGAAGATCGAACGTTCGAACATTCAAATAATCGAATTATTCGAATCATTTTAAGAGCCCTAGTAATTACGCACATTTTGATACCTTAACTGATTCTCGACAAATAGTTTATTAACTGCAAACAATTGAAAAAAGATATCTCTCCGTGTGTTCAAAATTTCGGAATTTATTTTTTTCGAGATTTTCGAATATCATGACGAAATAAAATAATAGGTGTCTTCTTTTTTCGATAAAGAATGTAAAAATATATATTTCATCCCAAAAAAAAATATTGAGGTTTAAATATTGTATGGAATTACCCATATGTATAAAAAAATAACAAACATTACATAACCAAAAGAAAAATAGCTAAAACTGATAAAAATTCATTGGCTTAAGTAGTTTAGCACAACTGTATATTACTTACTCATTTTCGAACTAAAACCGGGTTTAAGGCTGCGCTGGGTTGATGATATTTTGGTGATGTGGTAGTTAAGGCAATTTAGTGACATGTCTGATACTAGGCATGCTGAGATCTGCTACTTCGGTTTCCTGGGTCTGATGAAAAAAACTGTATTAAAAATAAAATAATAAATTTTCAAATAACAAACCAACATGATTCCTGTTATTCAGGCAACAATCGTTATTTTGGTATTTCGCCACTCTGAAAATCTTATCCAAAGCATTTTTACTGTGATATTAGTGCGTTGAATTCTGTGGAATGTTAAAACACCGACAGATATCGTTTAACCATTAATCATCCTTGCAAATCGGCAAATCAATGGGCCGTATAAATAAAAACTAAGCAATTGCTTTTTCTGAAAATTTCAGACCTTTCACTTAAATTTATGTGAATAAATCGAGTAAAAGGTCTGAAATTCGGTTTCTATTCGAAAAATCAATTCGTTGCATTTCGTTTTTTTTTTAACTTAATCGATATTGATGTTTCATCGTTTGTTTTATACAAAAGTAATAAATTTATTTTAAGTAAAGTAGCTTAAAATGTAGTACCTTCAACAATGCCAATATTTACGTTATTTTTGTATTTATTAACTTCTATCAATTTTTACATACATTAGAGTGTACATATATAAGAACTCTCCCTTCTTTAAGCTTATATGACTCAATCATTTTGTACATAATTGCCGTTCCAAAGAAAGATAAAAAAAAACGGAAATGAAAACAATACTCGAAGGTACTTATAGTAGTGTCGAGAAAAATGAGAATAAATGTGCAAACAATTAATTTAACTAAATTGCAATGTTATCTAGATAATATAGTTTTCTTTTATTGGCACAGCATGTGATCTTTAGAATTTTTTTGTTCAAATGTCCTCTGACGGCGCAAGTTCATGCAAAATGTTAAATATATTTTATGTATATCGGTTATTATGTACTAGGCGAATTTCAGAATGAGAAACTTAAGTGTTATTTAAAATCTTATCAAATTGTATGTGCCAATATTCCAAATCCAAAAAATTACATTCAAGTTCGGGCAAGCAGTTGCAGCACAACCTACCACCTTCCATATCTGCTTAATATGTATTTTGCCGCTTTTCTACATAAATTCTATTTTTACTTAAATTGTCTTTACAAAATTAGAAACGCAATTTTCAAACCACTTTGTTACTTGTGATAAACTCAATATTTTCTACTAAATCTATTTAATTCTTTGAATTGAAAAAATAATATTCGTCATCCTCGACCGTTACACATTCCACGTTATCGCCATTGCCGCTGCTGCCGCCTGCACCACCATCACCGACCGCCGCATTCTCCAGACTTCATCCGGTTACTTCTTCGCTCGAAAAGTCCAATTTGACCACATCAGCTGGCAGACCCTCTTCCTCGTGCTCCTGTGTGTTGATACGATTTAACGTCATCATTACATCTGGACCTGATTTCAGAGTTATAGACTTTGTTTGCGGTGCAGTAGTCGTTACTGCCACCCCACTTGACCCCGACTGCGCTACCCCCGTGGCGGCGGGGACCATCACTGTGGTTGGCGCAACAGCTGTTATGGAAGCAGCGCTGCTGGCCACCACTAAAGCTTGTTGAGTCGTTGTTTGCTGCGGCTGCGGCTGTGGTTGCGGCTGCGGCTGCGCCGACTGCACCACCGGCTGTGATGCCGTTTGTAAGACGACGTTTTCGGTGACCGTAGCCACTGTAGGTGCCGCCGAAGCAGCTAGCAATGCTTTCTGCTGTTGCATTTGTTGAAATTGCTGCAACGTTACTGTGGTCGTATGTGGTTGTTGAATGATTTGTGTTGCGGCGCTAGTTTGCTGTATGATAATCTGTTTTGGTGATGTTTGCAACGACTGTGGCGCGGTAAGTGTTGGTTGTGTATGTTGTTGTTGCTGATGATGCTGTGACACTCGTGTTGTTTGCACCGGCAATATACGTTGCACGTGTTGTATATGCACTGTTTGCGGTGTTGTTGATTGCGTTTGCTGCTGCTGTTGCTGTGTGGTTACTAACTGTGGTTGTTGCTGTACTATAACATTAGCAGTGTCGTGCTGCTGTTGTTGTTGATGCATTGCATTCAATTGTATTGTTTGCTGCTTGACGACGTGTGTCTGTTGTGTGGGCACTTGTTGCACGGCTTGGATGACATGTTGCACTTGCTGTACAGGCACCTGCTTTGCAGGTATTCCTGCATCTTCGAAAGCTTTCTTCTTAAGCGCTTGTCGTATTTGAGAGCTGTCGGGTAGAAGAAAAAATTAAAAACGTTAGCTTTTTTATAATAAAATGTCCTCTCGCTACATCCTTACGGCAACAAGGCTAAGGCAAAAAAAAACAAGATTTTTGAAACTTACACAGTCCGATTTTTAATGCTTAAGCTAATTTTATTCAAATCATCTGAGAAACGTATTATTGATGAATGTAGCATATTTATCTCCTCATCGGTCCATTTTCTGCGCGATAGAAGTGACAAAGGGAACATAAAAAGTCCGCGTAGCGTTAAAGGTGGCAATGACAGATGGACATGGAATATAGCGAGAGAACAAAACGAATGTTACAAAATGAGTTATAAGCACAAAATATTAATTAAAGTAAGCTTTTAAAAGCATGTATTAAATATTTCTAAAATTTCGTTCAAATATTTTTTATATCGCAGAAATACTCTCAAATACTGATAGAGTGTCTTCCAAGTTGCACTCGCTTATAGACAAAAAATGTGAATTAAGATCGAGCATACTTTATATGGAACAAAATGCACAACGCCGTTAGCCAAAGAAATTATTAAAAAATCAGCGCGATTTTCTAGCGTCTTAAAAGTTGCTTTATCCTACTATAATTGAGTGGGATATAGAACAGCATTCCTAAAATTTTTCTTCAAGCGAAGTAAACAGTTGTATCGAAAAAAATATTGAGCTTAAAAATATAAAAAATTAAAAATAACATAAAATATATTTACGTATATATAGTTTTAAACTAATATAAAACTTTCTGCTATTTATCGAATAGTTTTATTATATATATTTTCTTATCGGATTTTTAATATTTTACGCGTTTTTATAAGTAATTATTTAATTTATGGATATTGAGGATGAGGAGCCATCTGGCTCCTCAGTAGTAGAGCGGAACAAACAGAAGCAAAGGCAAAAATTGTTTAACAAATAATAACATTGATATTGCAATTTTATCAGAAACTTGGCTTAATAATAATACAGATACTAGTCTTTATAACTATAATTATACTTTTACTAACCGATCAGATGGTTTTGGAGGTGTCGGAATTTTTTGAAGAGAAATATTAAATTTTCTACTTATAAAATTAATAGTAATATAGAAAACATTGGGATTACTACACTTAATTTAAAGAAAAATATAAATATTATTAGCCTATATTGCGCACCAAATATTTCAAATTAAATTTTTAAAAATGAATTAGAAAAAATTTTTAATTTTACCAGACATCTTAAAAATATAACTCTAATTGGAGGAGATCTAAATGCAAAAGCTCCTAGTTGGGATAGACATTCTACAAATCAGAAAGGAACTATTCTTGAAAATATTGCATCTGATTATAATTTGTTTTGTCTGAATGACGGTTCTCCTACTTTTTCTACCAATACCTTTTCAACTTCAGCTATAGATGTATCTTTTATTAATAAAACCATAAATTGTAATTGGCAAATATTACCTAAATTAACTAACAGCAATCATAACCCAATTATACTAACTTTTAATGAAGATTTCAAATTATATCAAGAATCAAAATTACTTAATAAACAATTACTTAAAGATATGAATAATCTAAAAGTGGGAAACAATTTAGAAGATTTTACAAATTCTTGCCAAAACATAATCAAAAAGAATATAATTAAAATAAATTCTTCAAATAAGTATGTTCCAAGACAATGGTGGACCGAAACTTCTAATAAACTTTTTAGATTAAGAAATGCGGCTCGTATAAAATATCATCAATATAAAACTATTCAAAATTGTGAATTATTAGCTTTGACTGAAAAAAATCTTTCTGATCATATTAAAACTCAAAAACAAAATAATTTTAATGATCTTATCAATCAAATTTCAAATTAAAAATCTTAAAAAATATAAATGTGATAAAAAAGTAAATAATTCCTGGGAATCACAAGATAAAATTAAATATTTATCATTTATTACTAGACAAAATAACACTCAAATTAATAATAATCAAACTTTTAATTTGATTCATGAATCATTAAACGAAATGAATTTGGAAAATTTTCATAAATTCTTAAATAGCAGAAATCTTAATTCAGCAAAAGGAAATGATTCTATTTCGTATAAAATGTTGTTTCAATTAAGTGAAGAAGAAAAAAATAAACTTTTCAAAATTTTAATTAATACTTGGAATAATGGTATTTTTCCAGAAACTTGGAGAGAAATTAAAATAGTTCGTATACCAAAAGCAAATATTGATATTTCGAATATTTTAAATTATAGACCAATTTGTCTAATGTCTTTTCTAGCAAAAACTATTGAAGGTATTTTAAAATTTTATATTGAAAATCATATTTCTCTTCCATTTCTATTTTACCAGACAGATCATACGGTTTTCGAAAACATCGATCAACATCTCAATGCATTAACGATTTAATTAATACAATATTTACACTTAAAGAAAAAAATTTTCAAGTAATGGCTGCCTGCATTGATGTTGAAAAGGCATATGATTCAGTTGATATTGATATATTACAAAATATATTTCTTAACTTTAATTTCAATAGAAAAGTAATTAATTGGATTTATTCTTTTCTCAAAAAACGTTATTTAATTTTAGAAAATGAAAAAATTATAACACAAAACGGTTTGGCTCAAGGTAGTGGCCGTAGTCCTATTCTTTTTAATCTATATACAACTCATCTACCCTTCATAACAAATCAAAATTGTAAAATTTTTCAATTTGCTGATGATT